ATCACCTGGAACCACTCTGTCTTTCCCTGAAAACTTTCCTGAACCCTCCTGAAACTTCTCAGGCTCTCAGAGCTCACCTGCAATGGACACCCACTGTGTGTAGTGACCAGCTTTGAGTCACCGTTTAGCGTCTCCCACTTCAGCCCAAGGGACTCCCTTTACTATTTCTTGTAAGACAGTTGACAACAAACTATCTCAATTTTTGTTTATCAGGGAATGTCTTAATTTCTCCTTCATTTTTAAAGTATAGTTTAGCCAGATATAGAACTCTTGGTTGACAGGGTTTCTTAAATGTCCACATTCTGAACAGGGCATCCCACTGCCTCCCGACTTTGATGGTTTTGACCAGAAATCAGCTACTAACCATGTTGAGGATCACTTCCATCTGTCTTGCTGCTTTAAAGAGTATCTCTGTTTTGACTTTCAATAGTTTGATTCTGAAAAACTTGATTCTGACTGTTTTTGCCAGGTTTTTCATTGCTTTTGAGGAGGGGTGGATTTGGGGGGTTCCCAACTCTGCCATTTTCAGAGATGTCTCACATGATGTCTGGATGACAGATGGTGATACACACCCTCTAATTAAGTTAGGCTGCAGAGGACAGAGAGAGGCATGTGCATGTCAACGCAACTTTATTTCAAGCGTCAACAAGAATTTTCTCTTCTCACAATTCTCAAACATACTCCAATCATATTTACATAACACTGTAAGAGAAAATGAGAAGTTTAAGCATAATGAGAACTTTAAAACTCAGTAACGTGCTCCTCAAGAGAGATGTAACCGTAGAAAAAGACAACCGCCTGCAAAAGATTAACTGTGAACATATCTCTGGCCTGGACTTCGAAAAGCAGAATTATAGTCTTAGAGTTGGAAGTTAATTTAGCGTGCATGGGCTATAGCATCTCTGCAAGAAACAATGTCCTAGACTCACGGGCTCCCGGACTGGAGAACTCACCTCCCCTTCACTGCCCCGGGGAAACCCTGGTGTCATGGTTACCAAAGGGGTAGGAGCGAAGGAAAGAGTGTTAGCCACCGGCATCCACCCAAAATCTACCAATTGCAGAAAAGAGGTCATAGGTGTCAAGGGTGGGAGGTACGGACAGAGATTCCCTTCTCTCTTGTCTTATCATTGCATCTGAGAGGGTCTTGGATGAGCATAGGGATGGTTCTGAGTTCACCGAGATGCTGTGCTGGATCACAAGCTTGGGGATGCAGGACAGAAGAGCAGGCAAATTACATCTGGACAGCAGCAAGGTGGGGGCGGGGAGTGCAGAGCCATGGCGGGTCAGGCCCTGGTCATCGAGGAGGGTGTCATAGGCTGAATGCGTGCACCCGTCTGCAAACTGATTTGTTGACCCCTAATCCCCAATGTGCTGGTGTCAGGAGGTGGGGCATTCGGGAGATGGCGAGGTCATGAGAATGAACCTCTTATATATGGGATTAGCATCCTTGTGAAAGAGGCTCCAAGGAGTTCCCTTGCCCCTTCTGCCGTGTGAGGACAAGGCAAGAAGACAGCAGTCGTGAGCCGGGAAGCGGGTCCTCATCAGACACCAAATCTACCAGTGACTCGATCTTGGACTCCCATCCTTTAGAACGATGCGAAATGAATTTCTGTTGCGTAGAAGCCACCCAGTCTGTGGTATTTTATTACAGTGACCTGAATGACCTAAGAGAATAACTGACCCAAAGAACCTGCAAAGTCCTGGGAGACCCCGATGATAATTGTCGAGAGGAGTGAAATGTTGTGATGTCAGAGAAATGGAACAGAGACGGTCCCTTGCTGCAGGGCAGCCTCGTGGAAGGATGTGCCTAGATACACTATGTCACCTCCCGTGTCTCACGCCTAAGTATTTACAGGAGCTCATTAGCACTGGAAGTTTTCCCAGTTTTTAATGAAATTTTACAATGCCATAAAGTAGTACCTATACCTAAGGAAAAATGCTCATTGGAATATGCATTTTAAAATGGTTTTTACTGAGGACAATTTTAACTACCAAGACTATTAACTTTTATAATATTTTTTGCTTAAAGGAGCATAAATGACCCACTAATGTTATTTATACCACATATAATGACAGTAATTTTTCTGTGTTTGTTGTAAAAATTGCCTTGACAATGGAAATGATGCCTAGGAACCAAGGTCTTTCTCCTGTATTTTAGGGAAAATCATATCAAATTTGTGTATGTAACCCAAAAGAAAATATGGAGTGTCTTCTTGCTAAATAAAATAATTAACATTTCTCAAGGAGAAAGGAAATGAAGGCTCTATGCAACCCTCCCAGATTTGGCCATAAGGATTTACTACAGAAAAAACAATATTGAAAGCATTATTGGCCTCAGGATAGATTTCACTTCAGTGTCCCACAAAATCGTACTTATGACAAGACAGTGCAAAGGAAACATGACAGAATGGGGAGACTAAACTGGATGACTCTGAGGGCCATGCTTGGACATTTAAAAGCTCTTGACCATGGCCAAGGCTCTCATTTTAGGGATACCAACAAGTTCCATAATTTGATGTAGGGAGCTCTGAAGTTTCTCCAATGATCAAGTTAAGTCTGAAAGGTCCTTGTCAGTAGAATTGTATCTCACTCTGTGGACTGCATGTAAATGCATGTACATTGTACTGGGATTAATAAAATATATACCATTGAAATGTACAACTGATTCACTGTAGCATTTTTTCATTTTGTCTTTTGCGTGTTTATCTTGTATCCTGTGACCTTGCTGACATCACTCATTAGTTCAAATAGTTTCTGGTAGATTCTTTGGGATTTTTCTAGATAGACAATCATATCAGCTGCAAATACAGTTTGATCCTTTCTGATGTTATGCCTCTTTTTGCTTTTATTGCAGTGGCTAGAATTGCTATGCTATGCTGAATAAGAACAGAGATCCTTGTGTTTCTCCTGATTTGATGGGGAAAGCATTCAGTCTTTCACTATTAAGTATGAGGGAAGCTGTAAGGTTTAATGTAAATATTATTTACCACGTTGAGGAAGTTACCCTCTGTTCTTAGTTTGCTGAGAATTTTTAATTATAAATGGGTGTTACATTTTGTCAAATGCTTTTTCTATGTCAGGTATGATCCTATGATTTTTTTTTTTTTACTTAGCCTGCTAATATGATAGATTACGGTGACTGATTTTTGAGTGCTGATCCAGCCTTGCATTTCTGGAATAAACCTTACTTGGTCATGGTGTTTAATTCCTTTTAAACATTGCTGGATATTTGCCTATATTTTGTTGAGGATCGTGTGTCTATGTTCATGAGAGATATTAGTCTGTAGCTTTTTCTCTCCCTTTTTTTTCATTTTGCCTTTTCTCTATCAATATATATTAAAAGTACAATTGGTCTTACAGTAGTTGAGTCTGGTAGTTGTTTGTTTCAAAAATCCTTACACTCCAAAATGTTGGAAGTCACTGGATAGGAAAGTATGAATATCCTTCTCAGTTCTGTGGAATCTTAATTCAATTTGTGAAGAATACTCAGGCATCAGAGAGTGATGAAAACACCCATCCGTGTGAAAATACCAGGCATCAATAATTTTAAAAGGCAAGTGGGCATCCAAAGGGGAAAAAAAGCTAGTTATCTAAAATGGGGAAAATCACTTTACTTTCCAACTTGTTCGCAGTATGATCAAAATTCTGAGCTGCACCTGAGGATATACATGAAAATTAAGTCCAATGAAATAATTTCATATTTGACTCTTTTCCTGGGTGTTAAAGTCGACAAATGAATCTTTTACAACATGTAATAACTCAGGAATACAGCACCTTTGAGATCTGTTGAGGAACAAACTATTACTTGACAAGATGAATCCGCATAAAGAGCTCATAAGAGAGCTTACAAAAACCCTACTGATAAACAATATATCAACTGAAATACAGAATTAAGATTTTTAAAAAAGCATTTTCTATGAGAAAGAAACTCAGATACTATCTAAAGTCAAGGGTACTTATAAAGTTAGCTCCATGGGGCGCCTGGGTGGCGCAGTCGGTTAAGCGTCTGACTTCGGCCAGGTCACGATCTCGCGGTCCGGGAGTTCGAGCCCCGCGTTGGGCTCTGGGCTGATGGCTCGGAGCCTGGAGCCTGTTTCCGATTCTGTGTCTCCCTCTCTCTCTGCCCCTCCCCCGTTCATGCTCTCTCTCTGTCCCAAAAATAAATAAAAAACGTTGAAAAAAAAAATTAAAAAAAAAAAAGTTAGCTCTAATTCCCGTAAACGTGACATAATCTTTGTTTTTAACTTACGGCGATCAACCGTTTAAAATTTCTTCCTATTCCACTTTATTTTACACGTTGCCAATTAAATTAATGTTAAAGTCAATAAATGTATTCATAAATAGTATGCATATTATGATCTAATTTTTCTGAGATTCCTTCTCCCTCCCTCCACCCCTTCTTTTCATCCTTTGTTCTTATGTATACTCATTGTATACACTTAGAAGATGTTAATGATGGTTCTTTAGTCTTTATAATTTCTTGTAGTAATCTTGTCTCATTTCTACAAAAACAATAGACATGTATTCTTTTTGAAAACAGAGAGAGGGGGTTGGCGCCTGGGTGGTTCAGTCAACTCTTGATTTCGGCTCAGGTCATGATCTCACAGTACATGAGTTCAAGCCTCACATCAGGCTCCATGCTGGCAGCATGGATCCTTCTTGGGTTTCTCTCTCTCTCTCTTTCTTTCTCTCTCTCTCTTTCTCTCTGACCCTCCCCCCTCTCCAAATGAAAAAAAAAATGATAAACTTAAAAAAAGAGAGAGAAAGGGAAAGAGAAGAAGAGGAAAGAAAGACCAAAGGATGAGGGAAAGAGGGAAGAAAACATTTACCCACATATTTGTCAGTTTTCCAACGTGATTCCCCTGTATTCTCCACAGCAGCTCTCCATAAGAATGAAACTAATATAACGACAACGTTGTATTATGCTCCTGTACTTATAGAAATGACTTATAAAACAGTGCAATTACTTTGTGTGAAAATAGCATACCCGTAAGTAAGAATACTTTAAGGAACATAATTTTATTTTCAGTTCAAGAAATTGGTTCAAAACACACATCCACCAGACTTCATGCAGAACACAGAGTGATTTAGGATGTCTACATTTGGTACTACATAGATTAACACAACTCTTAATTTTTGGCATTCGGCTTTGTGAGTTTACTGGTATTCATGCTAAATTTATAGATGATAAGACATTTTAGAGAAACAAACTCCAGAGAGTAGTTGTAACAGCATCTGGTGTAGGAAGATCCACGTTCATTATTATTTCTACAGCAGTGTTTAAGCAATCACGTTGGTAAAATTAAAAAAAAAATCAATATTCACATATTTTCTTCGTTATACATACTACTATGTTATCGGGAGATAATTAACTGAAAACCTTACACAGAGAAGTTACATTTATCTCTTAGAGATAATAATGCTGTTAAAAATCAGCAGCTGCACAGAAAGACATGCATATATTTCATTTCAACATTGAGTTAAAAAATTCACACGTAACAACTGGAATGCAGTATTCACTTCTCTATATTGGGGGAGACAACAAAATTAATGTACAAGTGCTCTTTTCCACCAAGCTATTTTTTTTTGATGGGAAAAATATGATAATCTCTGAAATCCTTACATGTAAGTTATCCAACTCTCTCACGCTTCGAAAATATGTAAATTTCTGCAGATAGGCTAATATAATAGTTGAACAGATATTTTATGAATCAGATCAATGTAAACAATGAAATCTGATCGATTTAGATCTCACAGAAGGAATTACTTTTTCATAGAACCACTCAAGTTTTGGCTTACAGAGGACCATCCACTCAGTTTGAATGGTTCTTAACTCTGGCGGTGTGCCTGAGGCCTTGAAAAATGCTTGGGCTCCACCTCCAACCCAATCAAATCGGGAAGGAGGTCTGAAAATGGGGTCCCTGGACCGGCAGCATCAATATCACCAAAGAGCCTGTTAGAAATACAAATCTTGGGGCTTTACCCCAAAGGTACTAAATTGGAAATTCTGGAGGTGAGGCCCGGTAATCTGTGTTAACAAACTCTTCAGGTGATTCAGATACTTGGTAAAGGCTGAGAACCATGGTCCTAAGGTGAGCCCAGAGCCTCACGGCCATAAGGTGAGCCCAGAGTATCATTCGTACCTCCTGCAGAATTTCCCGCTCATTCAAATGTGTTTCCCTTTAGAGACTTGTTCATCCCGTTCAACTTTTCTTTCATATGTGAGAATACCAAAGACAGCATTTCCATCAGCAACCTTAGCCACAGGATCAAACCAAACCTAATGTCCCTTACCTTTTCTGCAATGCACAGCTCTCCTGTGCAGCTATAACTTGAGAAATTACAAGATTCACCAACAAGGTTCAAGAAAACTTGGCATTCCTATCCCTCGGTGTCACACCTTCAGTCTTTACGAAATACGTGGCCATGAAGCCTGACTCTCAGAAAATCAATATATGGCAAACAATATTTATGTATCCATTTCTGGTTTGTAAATATTCCCAAAGTATAATCTGATTTAATAACGAGAGGATTATTAAATTTAATTCTTTGTCCAGGCTAGCTGGCCCTATGCTGAAAATATCACAAACTAGGCATCTGCTCACTCACTCAGTAAGTATATTCCATGTAAAGTTCCTCACGGGACCTCAGGGCTCTGAGGATAAATAGGACTCATGCGCCTACCCACGCTCCCCACCTCCCTGTGTGCTGCCTGATCCTGAGCTGCATTATTGCAACACACTTCTTATGTATGTCTACACCCCCGCAACCGGCTCTTTGATGGGAAATTGACACGGTTTCTATGGTTATCAACAGTTTCTCTGAGAGCTAGACTGAAATGTGCCACAATTGCATGTTTACATTGAGTTTTTCTTCCTAAGGAGATGGGAAGGTTTCCACCTCCCCACGTGCTTCTGCTCTCTGGGACTTTTGTGGTTTCCAAACGGAGACTGTTTAACTAGCGGTACCTATGATAGCAGGTTAAGTGGCAAGACACCCATTCTGACCCTTTCATTTTGGCTGCTCTGCGCCCCAAGGTGCTCACCTATATTTTGCCTTCACTCCTGACACGTCAGAAAGAGCTCTTTCTGGCCCAGGGATCATAGGCCATTTGCCTGGTCCAATCTCTTGGCAAAGTGGATGCAGGGAGGGGCAGGGTAGGTCGGGACGACTCATCCTGCAGAAGCAGAGGGAGCACGCCCGGAGACCTGCTGCAGCCACAGCCAGGTGCCCACCTCCTGACTCCCATCTGCTGTGACAGTCACTCACAGGACACGAGCTCTTGTGGGTGTGACATCACCAGAGCCAGCACCCCAAAGAGGGCCCTCAGGACAGACGTGCCCATGGGCCTGCTCAACTGCCTTTCGATTCTCTGAAGAAACTGGTCATCTGTGATCCTTACAAAAGGAACTTTTCTCTGAAAGCTTGTGTTTCCGACACTTCACGGTTAAATGGAAGGCTATGGATAGGGCAACCAGGAAGATGTCATGAGCCCGGCCGAACAATGAAGATATGAAAAGTGTTGGACTTGGGTCATTCAGGGATCCCTCAACGATGACAAAATCTGGAGGATCTCAAGCACAGAAATACGATTGACCTTAAGAAAGGAGCAGAGGAGAACAGATAGGATCACAAGTTGCATAAGTAATACAAACAGTGAGTGGAGGCGTGACCAGAAAAATCCAATACAAACGGTGGGTAACGTGTGCCTTGGATTCATTGTTTCTAACTTTCGGTGAAACCGGACACGGAAATCCAAGGGCAGAGGAAGCAGATGCCCTCTGGCTGAACAGCAGAGGACGCAGCTGGTGCCTGTCCCCCGAGGTCCCACTCTCCTGCCTCCGTGCACGGTCGAAGATCTACACCATCCGGAGCCCCAAGGAGCAGGGTCTACCACCAACACCCAGGTGATGCTCTGCCACGTTGTGAACATTCAAGACACAGCCGTTACATCCCAAAGGCTCCCATTCCATCACTGGTACCCCGCTCCACAAGTGGGCATGTCCTGTCACAGCCAAACTTCCTACTTCATCTGCCACATCAACAATGCTGGCAACATGGGCACCTTGCCACACACACACACACACACACACACACACACACACACACAAATCGCTCCGGACAAGATTGGCCCCCACCGCCACCTTTCCGGTACCTGGAGGCTGGCTTCCACCGCCTTTCCGGTGTCTGGAGGCGTGGCCTCACGGCCTTTCCGGTGCCTGGAGGTGTGCTTACACTCACACTGATGCTCACCACAGCGTAAAATGCTGCCAGTCACTTCCTTTCTTCACCGTCCCCTCCCGGGACCACCCCGTTTTACGCGCTGGATGGCATGTTACCTTGACTGCCCGGAACAAGCCCACCACAGGAGAAAAAGGAGCTTAACAGATCCACAGTGGTCTTGAGAACAAGCACACAAAAGTAGGTTCCGTTTTAACAGTCAATATTCAATCTTTTGAAGTAAGGCTCCATATATAGTGCGTGGTGGCCGGTAGAAAACCCAGAGTGGACCACAAGGTTCATCCCAGTTTATAGGTCACCTTAATGATCATCACTGCCTGAGAGTAAAGACTCTGAATGGTGGATCCCGGTTCCCGTCGATCAGCAGCTGGTGATCTTTGTTTTGACTTCCCTAATGCTGAAAATCTGGACTGGCACGACGTACCTAGAGATATCCAGCGATCTGTTCCCCAGCAGAAAGGATGAGGCTTTCCACCCCCAAAGTGACATCAAAACCCTTCTCTATGCAATCAGTTCTCCATGCAGTTGTTTAAGTAGAGAAAACTCAGCCAAGGTCGGAACAGACAGAGCGAGTCCAGCTGAGGTCGTCTCCACGGTGTACTCAGAGCTAAGAGCTTCCTCCTCACCCCCTAGAAAGGCCCCTCCCGCCGCAGCTGCGCCCAGGACACAACCCGAGTTCTGGCAGAGGGGTGTGCTGAGCGCGAGCTCGGGAGCCAGCGGTGAGCGGTGCTGAGCCCAGCGGAGGTGCAAATGCACCGGCCTGCTAATGTTCCTAAAGATCACGCCCAATCAAGCAGACGTGCCTGTCCCAGAGGCCCAGCAGGGCAGCCAGAGTGACAAAGGTGACTATGAGTGAATCTGCCACGCCTAAGACACTAAACACACATCCGACACCCTCCCCAGACATGCTGGCCTTCCGCAGGCACAGCCCACACCAAAGACGTGGTCGGTGCGTGCAGTTGTTCCTCAGCCCCAACTTTTCCTCTTCTAAAAGAGAAAAATCAAAGTACATTATAAATTGAAATACAACTGCCATCCTGTCATTTTTTCTTCCTAAGACAATAGGTGGCCATCAGCATTTGGGGCCACCTACTCTTCGTATAGATGGCTTTTTTATAATACACAAGTCAGTAACATCCACTTGACAGACAGCCTAATAGGGAGCACTCTCTAACGGCCAAGAACAGGATCGCCTTAGGAAGAAAGCCGGTTACAAATTTCAAACGTGGGAGATACCTGCAGTCAGTGTCGATCACAATTTACAAATTTCAGAAGAGAAGGGTCCGGTGGAAGCAGCCACACTGATAGGTTTACCCCAATTACAGGACTATGTGGTTTACATACACGCATTTAAAATATCCTTTTAGGCAAAGAAGAGGGGGAAGCTGTACATGGTTTTATTTGACGCAATGCTGCTTCAACGCGGGCGTTTGGGGACCCGCAAGCATCTGCAGTATCTGTGGAGAGGAAATGAATGTCTCGCTAAGTTATTCTCTCCTGCTCAGAAGAAGCCTGGCCCCGGGTTTCCGCTAACACTCGGGGACTACGACTGCACCGTCTCCACGCAGCTGAGGTGCTGAGCAAATGCAATCATCCTCGAGGCCGCAAGTTAAAGTTGACTCACGAGTGACTCACGCGGTTCAGCAAGCGCCTTCTCTGTTCGCTGTAACTCATCACATCTGAGTCGAAGGCCGGATTTCACCAGGGTAGATACGAGAGTGAGAAACTCGGGATAGGAGCACATTTCGAGAAGAGCACAAGAGGGTGGGGGCGGAGGAAGAGAAGGAAATGACTGTTTTACTCCTAAGGTGTGCATTGAACGATTTCATTAAAGGCGAAAATATTTACCTAAAATATTCAGAAAATGGCCTCTGTCCCCACATTGCTGAGGACACACGTGGTCAGAACGCAGACAGCGTCTACTTACGGTATCTCCTGGGGTCGCGGGGTGAGAAAGTCGTTCCAACCACGTCACTATATTCCTCAGTAGGAGACTGAAACCCGTCCCCATCCGTGTGAAGCAGCCAGCATTTCGGCCACTTAAATATTCCAGAGCTAGTGTCCAAATGTGAAACACTAAAAGCCCAGAAAAAAATCACAACCGCCTTCTGGCACCGAGGCAGCCAAATCTAAGGAGACGACATCAATTCTCTTTGAAGTGCGCCGAGAAACATGGTTTGCAAGCCGCCCAACTTCAAAGGCAAATACAGCATTTGTCCGTTAGCCTGGCCGCTGCAAGAAAAAGCGTGTCCTAGGGAGGCCTTCTTTATTTAGAGGACGAAGCAAAGGTGCTTCTGACTTGCTTGCGTTAATTATATGTTAGAAAAACCGCCACCTAGGAAGCACGCGCTTGGTCAATGCAAGACACTCTGACGCCTCTCTGGGCAACTGAAGCCTGTTCTGGTCCTTCTGGAACTCCTCACGCAGACAGCTTCACAGAGGTTCAGATCTTCGCAGGACCCGAGTCATCATCAGCCTCAAAGTTTCTTATACCGGTGGACCAACTAGGCTCTGAATAAGAGGAATTGACTTAAATGCCGATGGACAGGAAAAATACCCTGTCTAACAGGTCCGCGTGTACACTCAGCAAATGGGAGGTTTCGCAGGTGCCGGCTACGACTCCGGCGCTATGCTTCTGGCTTCCATCATGCCATCCACAAATGGGATGGTCCAAGGGGACACGGGTGGGTACGTAAATACATCTTCCACGTGCTTCGTAGAAAACAGAAACATTAGGTCCCGCATTTCTTCTAGTACTTCCGTGTGTGGAGGAATCACAAGAGGAAAACAAAGGAACAGCCAGGGTGCAGGAAGCCTTTGTCAACCATTAAAGTCCAAAGGCAACCAGGAGGCACCTCTTTGTACAGCTGTGGGGGTTCACACACACACACACACACACACACACACACACACACACGACCTGTTCTGGCGTCTGCAATGGCGACTTCAAGTTCCACAAAGGACATGAGGTATCACTGTCAGGGTACAATGTTTCTGCGGCTGTACTTGAATAAAGTGCAAAGAATTTTCCATGCAAAGGACTTAGGCTGTCCTCTAAAACACTGGCATCACACGTACATGCAACTTCTTTCCCTAGCCACCAAACTTGAGAGCTCATGATTTCCCATCCTTTCGAAGAATTTTCTCCTGTTCTGGCTAGAGATTCAGTTCAAGCATTGCAAATGTACATACCATTTGCTGGAGGAGCGTGATTAGTGACAATGAATTCATCAGCTGGAAAATTTAACATGCAAAGACTTATATCGAGTTTTTTCATCTAAAATTTGATATTTCCTATGGAATCCTGATTTGACACGGGTGTGCATTACACTAAATCCTTTTTCAAAAAGTCTTCCTGATGTTGTATTCTCACAAAATATAGCAAAGTCCTGGAGTCTGAAAACTACTGTTCTAAGGTAGAATAATTTAATCTCTTCATCCCGTATTTTTCATTCCACACATGAATAAATACGAAATTGTCGTGAAAAGTACATTTGAAATTCAGCCTATGATCATTTTTGAGGAAGTAATATTGGGGGTAAATGTGCATTTAACATTACTACGAATTTAATGAAACAAAGCATGTGTTTGTACAACATATATCCCTGGGTATACCTGCTCAGAAGATTCCTTTTCTTCTAATGTTATCTGAATCACGTGTTGCGTATGCTTTCCACATGTGGCATGACTACCATGTGTCTTACTGGATTCTGACTTCTTCCCAGCCCCATAGAAACTATTACCCACATATCATCCTCACTGGCATTTTTTTTTACTCCCTTTTGGCTCAGTTCCACCCAAGGCACACAAAATACCCTGGGCGATATATTTGTAAAACTTTAATGACCACGTTCCCTCTTGGATCTCACTGAAAGCTTCCACTATTAGAATAGTCGTCCTTCGCATTTTCCCTGATATTTTTTTTAGGTAACTCTACAAAGCCTACATCACAGAATAGTTTTAAGTGACCGGGCCAATGTCGGTCACCCTGAGTCACCGCTGTGCCGCTGTGCTTGTCTCCAGAGATGAAGTTAATGGGCCCTCATGACCACAGACAGGTGAAGCTCATCTCCGGAAACCGTGTTCACTATTTACAGTTGGGGGCAAATGAGGCGGGTGCAAATCAACTTGGCAAAGTCTCACTGCCATTTAACAGATGCGCCTCTATATAAATGGCCACAAAAAAAACGAAATCCGGGTCAAACTTTGATCGTGTATCCATGATCATATTTTGAAACACATACCTCGCAATATTACCTCGTTTCTTAAAATTGAAGAATTAACACATACATGTGTTTTTTTCTAAATAAACTGGGTTCAAAATGTAGATCGCCAGTATTCCTGACCATCTTTATAGGCTGTCCTATGAAGAATTGAACATGTAGATGGAATTCTATTAACCTTTCGTTTCTGTAAAGGTATAAAAAACTATGTAGCATTTCCTTTTGTTTTTGAAATAAAATTTAGAAACAATCTTTACTAGACCTCGAGATTTCCTAAATGGATTAAAGTATTGTTTTCAAAAACAGGTGGAACTAAAATGATGCGACTTGTCATGAGCACAAGAAGTTGCAGGCTTGCTAACCCCTTGTCGTACCCTGCTCTGTCTGAGACTCCACACGAGCGCTCTAACGCTCTCACACGTGAGTGCAATTGGTGGACGGCGGGGTATCTATTCGACTTTTATTTTCTTTCGTATCATTAAGAGGTGACTCATTGCGCATGTGGCACTTGAACACTTGCTTATAGGCCTTCCTAAAATTTTCTGAGAGAAAAGCGTATATGATAGGATTCACCGAGGAATTACTGTAGGCCAGGCAGTGAGCGGCGATTCTGAAGAGGAAGGAGACGGGGGTCAGCGGGAAAACCCCAAACTCGGCCCAGAGATTGATGACATGATGTGGCAGCCAGGAGATCCCAAAAACCACAACCACCACCAGAACCGTCTGCGCGGTCTAGAAGAAGAAGAAGAAAATACAGGAAGTGCGTCAGTTACAGCAGGCAAAGAATGTTCCAGAGTTTCAAAACATGCTCTGAGAAAATGTTATGTGTATCACCATGCAATCAAACGGATGCTAACTCTGCTGAACTGTCACTTCATATAACGGTTGTGTTCAAAACTTGTCCAGGACCTGCCACGGGGTAACGTTACCACATACGTGAGATGCGTGTGGATTACGGGCTGTGTCTTTGGGACCGTGGAACTATAAATGTGCAGAGATTAAACACTGTCACCTTAAAGCCTGCAGAGCTCTGAAGCCAGCAGCACACGCAGAGACAGGTTCACCAGCGGGCAGCTCGGATGGGCGCTCGAACCCTCTCTGAACGGCTGCCTCAACAGACGGTGTATTTCTTTATTTCTCCTCGTTCACCTTTGGCCAGTGAAAGACCCCAACGCACTGATGCATTCCGGAAAGCCATCTCTGTTTCTGTCTGTGGGCTGATGAGCCCCATTTTTAGCTTGTACCTATCGTAACCCTTCCCTTGCTCTCCCTAAATCTGAAAACACCCGGAGGCTGGGGCAGGACACCCACGTGTTTCCTTGGAGATTTGTGCCAAGCAGGTGATGGAAGAAAGCCACACCTGATCAAAGACCTCAGCACAAGAGGAGCCCTCCCTCCTGCTTCCCGTCTGCACCCCGCTTCGTGTGGGAGCCCATCACCTTCCCCGTGGGCGCACACCTAAAGGGCTGGGGTCGAGCCCGAGAACCACTTCTCCTGCATTTCAGGGCAGCTGGTTTGGTACATGTCGGAAAGGCAACAACTAGATAATTAACCTTGTGATTAGCTGGAAACTCCATGTCTACGGCTCCAAACAGAAGATGCTGGTCTCAACGTTTTGGAAACAAGAACCTGACGCAATCAGCTGGCTCCTTCCTTGAAAGGTCTCCCCTCCTGGGAGACCTCCCCTCTTCCCCCTCCCCAGGAACCGAGCAGGGCCCTGACTGCCACATGGGCACAGCGGCCCCCGGGCAGTGGAGTGTGGCTGATTGTCACTGCCTGACCGCCGGCGGTGGGCACGAAGTGGGGCCCGCCGGGATCACGGCTCCTAGATGAGGACGCTGAGGTGCAGAACGGTCGAGACAGGTGCCTGGCGTTCCAGAGCCGGAGGCCAAGTCAGAGCCCGAAGCCGGGTCAGGTGACCCCAAGCGCGTGCTCCGAACGCTCAGACATGGGGAAAGAAAAGCTTACGACGAAGTCTGCCTGGTCACCACCAGCCCCGTCTCCGGGGGCTGCCTGTGCAGCCCTTGGGCGGGCGATCAGGGACCCACAGGACAACGGTCACTCAGCCCTGAGACAAACCAGGCGAGGACACGTGCCCAGCCCCCACATGCAGCACTGCCAGCTCCTAGGTCACCTCACCAGTAGGTCCACCCCTCGCAGAGGATGTGAGAGATAGGGACTTGGAGCCCCTCGACTGGGGATTAGGAATCTTCTTCCTCAGACTGTGAGTCCAGGCCGCCTGAATTTGTGGAGGGGACACGTGGACACGTGGAAGTCTGCAGCACCCGCCGCTCCACCCCACCCCACCCCACCCCGACGGGAAAAGGCAACGACGCACCTTCCCCCACCTCCCTGCCGGGGCACCGAGGTGGAGCCCAAGATTCCCTGACGGCGCCCCTCTGCCTTCCCTTCTGCACAGAACCAGTCCCGACCGAACGGACGGATAAGGGGAAGGAGGGTTGGGAGGACAGAGGCAGAAGGAAGGTGACAGAACCCAGGGACGCTCATTGTCACGTCCTCACACAGGACGAGGGCTGGACATGGGGGAGGCGGTTCCGAGACGAGGACATCACTGTCACAGCACAACTGAACCTGCCGCCTCACGCCCGGTGCCCCCACCCCCCCCCGGCACTGCCCTGAGGGCTGTGTCCCCACCAGGATGTGCCCTCCACCCACGCCGTGAATTAGCGGCCAGACCAGTCAGGACGGCAGCAGGGAGCCGCCCACTCCGAGGGCAGCACACGCAGACACGAGCGGCAGAGACACGGGTCAGAAGCCGGGCGTTCTGCAACCAGGTGGAGGCAGGGGTGCGGCAGGAGGGTGGGATTGCAGGGCAAGGCCAGGGCAAACGCAGCGTCAGGAGGGGCAGGAGACGACAGCTAAGCTCACCATCACGGGGCTCCGTGGATTGTATACAGAAGCCCGGGACGGACAGTGGCCACGACCTGGCTGTGCAGCCTCGTGAAAACTGACGTAGCCTCCCGGGGCCTCAACTCCGTGCCCCAGAGACGTGGCTCTGGCTGTACCTGGTCCATTCAGACACTTAAAAGAACTCAGGTAAAACCTGACAACAGGTTTTTATAGGGCGGCAGGATTACATATTAAAGCTGCTTCCTGCAGGGCCCACAGAGCAAACAAGAGATTTGTCCACATGTATTAACAGATTGTCTGCCATCGATGCTCTTATCCATTAGCGCATGAGAGGTTCCATCCCCAGATGATTTAATCAAAAACAATCTAGGCGTAATTATACCTACAAATAGAACAGAACACATCGTCTTTTCTTTCTAAGACAATAAGAACATCTCTCTGCTTCCCCAAACAAATACCCTCTGGATATCCCCTTTCAGTGCCTCTTTCAGGAAGTTTCTAGTAAGTGCCACGCTTAGGACAGAAATCGACCCCCAGCAGCTTACTGATAGGATCCATAATGTATCAAAGTCCATAGGGCAAGGGCAATACGAATATGGTATATTTTCTGTTTGCAGTTCATTCAAAATGTACCTTTTTGTTTTGAGTAATTCCACTGGCCTCCTCAGAACCACGGACAAGGCTCTCTGGGAGCTTTGAATACGAGGGGATTGCAATTTAGTAGTTCTTGGGGGAAAAATACTTCGTGGGCACTTACATAAACTCGATCATCCATCTAAGGCTGTTGTTCCCAAAGAGTTAAATGGCACGGCCGTCAGCACCGACTGCTGCCAGCTGCACATCCTCGGGGATTTGCTATTTTCTCCCAGCCTCATCAGGCATCTCAGTCCCTCGGACTGATGTTCTCTTAGCGGATGGCGACCCCGCGCCCTGCACGCGGGTTGACTCCAAATCAGCCTCGGCGACGTTTGGGCGAACACGTCCAGGTTAGTGTAGCTGGGGACAGGAAACGTCCGTCTTCTTCTGTCTCCCTGTGGGTCCCGACCGAGCCGAGGAGACGGCGGCCACAGGACAGGAGTCCACGCGGGCAGAATAGCAACCGACTGCAACCTAGAGAGCTGGTCAGAGTAACACATGGGACAAGTCCCAAACCTGAGACGGAAGTGCCTCCCTGTGCTGATCACTCCCCAGGACACTGCTTGTTAAAATCCAAACATCTAGGCCTCGTGCCCCACATCGCAGTGCAGGGGTGGGGGGCTATTGGGGACTTACCCAGGAATCTGCCTTTCTTTCTAAAAAGCTCAGTGGCATTTGAAAAACCCCTGGTGAATTCCAGACAAGCCACAGCAAAAGCAAATTATCGTCCCCGTCTCCAATTAAAGGCAAAGCCGCTTCCTCAACACTGACAGCCGCCAAGGCTGAACCATGACTTTTCCCCAAGAAGCCTGGAAAAGGCTCCTTGCTCTCCTAGGTGAGACGTCAGAATGCAATGTGAGCGCTCCCGTCTGTGGAGAATGAGGCTGATTGCTCTTGATTTCTTACGTGACTTTTTTGCATTTCTTCTGACACCACTTGCCTTAGTCCGAGATGGAGTCGAACCCCGTGCCCCTACGGCTTGCCTCATCTGTCCGTGTCGTGTCTAGACTCCCGACACGATCTTCTGACACAGAAAAAGTCCTCCTTTAGAGTTATGTACAAAATCTCCAGATGCTTTACTGTCCTGGAGACTGGGCCCTTGAGTAGCGTGCTTTTTTGCTCCTTCTACTGAAAGTATCTGAAAAACATGAATCTCTCTTCCTCCTGTAAGATGTTCTTTTGCAACGTCTTCTGAGACATCTGTTCTTTCTTCAAACGACCGTACTCGCAACATGTCTGATGGAGCTTGGCTGGGAAGAAAAAGGTGACCGAAAGAAGAAAAAGATGGAAACATTCCCTAGATCGTATCGATGGCAGCCAAAGAGCTTGCCGGGTTACTTCAGGTGCCGAGGGAGCCCAGGTTGTCAGGGGGGTCAGCGCAGCCTCTAGTCCAGTGTTCCCTGCGAGGGACCCGCCCACTACGACGTCTGTCCCATTCTGAAGTCTTCCAGAGATGATCTGGGAGCCTCGTTTCAGTATCCCATCAGCCTTGCACCAGGAAACCCGTCTTCACGTGTGGCGGGGCTCGGGCAGAGCGTGGAACCAACCGCAGGGCTCTCCTATTCTTTCTAGTAGTTTCTGCCGTGGAGATGGCGCCCTATGTATGTTCCTCCAAACGTGAAGGGTAAGTGTTGAGCATGCTCATGGAAGGCCTCTCTGCCCCACGCCCCTCATGCACCTGAAGCGGAGCCCCTGTGTGGGTGGACACGGCGTGGAGGAAGGGAGCCTACCCACCATGGGGGGAGGGGCCGCGACACGAGGGACGCTGAGCTGAGCGAACTACAAAAACCAGCCCCTAGCGTGCACCTGCCCAGCGCCTCCCTGTGCTGAGCCCTGCGGGAGGGAGTGTCCGCCAGGAGTCGACCCGTCTCTGCCTCCGGGAAGGAGCGGCCCACCCGGGCTTCTCTACCAGAACCCTCTCCCCTCGTCCTCCTCCACCTCTCCGCCCTTTGCCCTCTTCTCACCCCGCCCCCAACCCCACCCCGCCTCTTGCTCAGACGCCGGCGTGCGCACCACCCCCAGCACTGCACCTTATTTGTTCTATGCAAACAAGGAGGCGATTAAATGTATCAGAAGAGAACTGACATCTGTTCAGGGCTGGTGAGGGTCAGAGGCTCTGAAAACGGAAGAGAAAATCTGCCCACCTCTCAATGCCACACCTTCTCCTATGGTAGGAATTACATTTACACGTGCGTATGTGATAGACACGCGTTTAAATATGTACC